TTCAAAAAAAAAAAAAACAATTCGCGTCAACATAAATAATTAATGTGTACGCGTTTGTCGATCAAGCAATAATTCTTCTAAAAAAAACAAAAAATGTCTTCAAGAAATAATTCAAAAAGACAAAAAGAAGTGCAAGAAGATATTACCGGGTAAGTGTTTATCATAAGAATGGTGTTGGTGGTTATCGCCACTCGTCGTCACTCAAGTTAACGTTAAATTAAGAATATATGAAAAGTCATGTCTGTGATCAGTTTATTACAAAAAACCTTGTCAATTTTGACCTAAATACAAATAAGGAAATTGTTTTCATAAAAAACTACGAACCTCTATTATATATATGTATATTAGTTAGCTACAGGGCGCAAAATGCCAATCGGAAAATTTATAAGTATATTTTTTTTAATGATTATAAAAAATTAGTTTATTTGAGTATGGATTTAGAAGTAGCTCAAGGTATGTTCTATAAATATCAATTCTTCCAATGCCTTCTTTCTTTGTCAAAGTAAAAAATTAATTATTTTGATATTTCAGTTTATTACATCCAGAAGAAAATTCTAATAATAGTACTTTTGATGCTGAACTTGCTGAATTGAATATGAAAATGAAAATGAAAATCAATTAAATCAATTGAATAAAAAATAACAATCAATAGTTTCAAACAAAATGGTTATCTGAATATAAATGGCTTCATTATGACCATATACATAAACAAATGATTTGTACAATTTACATTCAACATAAAAGAAAAGATCAATTTGCCCAAGAAGGTTTGTAATAGAATTATTTCTAATATTTAATATATATAGTATTATTAAAATTTTGACATTCATTTAGGTTCAAAAAATATAAATAGAAAATCAGCAATAAAATGTCACAAGGATTCACAAGATCACAAGCAGAAAAGTTAGAACTTTCCAAACTTCCAACAGAAAGATTAGTAGAAAAATTAAATGACAAATTTATTAATGAAAGTGATATACATATTATAAGCATAATGAAGATTGTTTATTATATTGCACAAAATCATATTCCTATGAAAAATTACCATCTTTAGTTCAACTTGCAAAGAATTGCATACACCAGATATTTCTGATAAATCATTCTCATATAGTAATGAAATTGCTGGTAATGACATGTTAGCTGCTTTATCAGAAGTTATCTCAGAAAAAATATGGAATGAATTGTCAGGAGTAGGAGTTATAATAGATGAATCCACTGATATAACTACTACAAAACTTAATCAAGTCAAAATTACATAATTCTCTTAGCACAAAAACATATCTAAGGCTCCGAATGAATCAATGAAATTTGAACCAATTCGAATTGATTCGAATCACTTAATTTTTGATTTGTTTCATTCAATTCAAATTTGAATTGAATCTGAATTGTACTTTGTTTTGATTTGTTTTGATTTGATTTGAACTGATTCAAATATATAATTTGATTCAAATGGATTTGAATTCAGACTTAAAGAAAACAATTTGGATTCATCTGGGGATAAGTTGGACATAAAATGGAGATTGGACCAATTTAGCAATAATAATAAAATAAATTATTCTCTGTTGACAATTGATAATACTGATTTAAAAAACTTGTTAAATGAAAAATTAATACCTGGATTTGCTTTAAGAAGTAAACAAAAATTCAGAAAAAGAGGTGGTAAAAAACTTGATTTAAAAGTAGTTGAAAAGTTGAAAGAAATGTTCTTGGCTGATAATATAGAAAAAAGTAATAAATTTTCACCTGAAGATATGTTAAAAATCTTCAAGTGTGTGTTGAAAACAATGAATTAGAAACTGATGATATTCCTTCTCACCAACAAATTAAATCATGGATATCTAGGTTTAATCAACATCACAAAAAACAAGCAGCTGAAATTGCAAGTTCTAGTTAATTAAAAACAATATTTCTATTCATGACCACTGTTCGAAATTCAATCGGCGGAATCGGCGCGCACTAACCAAATATGGAAATTAACCGCAGATAATTTCTAAAATTAGATTAGTTTATGTAAAGGCGCAGTCGAATTTCGAACACTGTTCATGACACAATTTCTTGTTCAATCTTAATTATATTTTATTTGTTCATCTGTTTTATTTCATCCATTGAATACTCAAATTGATTAATTATAATGAATAATTTATTTGAATTATATATTTTTTTGTTGTTATTTTAATGAGTTACACAAACATAACTTTTTTATATATGAAGAATCTCACTCATCTCTATATACTCAAATTCATAACGAATAAAGTGAATAGTTTGAATAAACCTTATTTGAATAGAAACCCTAGTTGAAATACTTTGGTCCAATATGTATTATATACATTCAAAAAAAAAAAAGTAATCATTTTTATGTATGTGAAAAAATATTAAAACCTAGTTTTTGATTAAGGCATGAAATAATTCTTATCATTGCTGAGTGTCCCATCATATTAGTTACTTCGTTTGTATCAAGCAATTCATCTTCGTTATCATTATCAACAAATTCTTGATTACAAGGTTGGATAGGAATTGCAATATGATTTCTTTTATAAAGTTTTTCATTTCCAACCTGTTTTTTTTTTTCAAAATATTTCACACCTCAATTGACAAATTCTAATGTTGATGATAATATTGAAAATAATAACTGTAGAACATTAGGATCCAGATGCCTTTGAAGAAGAAATTGATGATTCTATTAACAGGACCAAACATTGGGTAGAATTGGTTCAAAATTGGATGGATACGATTGATGATAACAAAGACATTTCTGATCCTTTAGGATCACCTGATTTTGTAAATTCATTTGTATCATAATAGCTAAATTTGATTAAACTTGAATTTTTTTAAATTAACAATGATTGGTTTGACAAATGACCCAAACGACTTGTCATTTGAGGTCACTTAGTCATTGTCATCATTGTATCAACAAGACTTTTTTGGTAAATTAACTGATTTAACACCAAGGTGAGAAGATTTTTACATTCAAGGTCATTCATTGAGTTTTTACAAAGCCATTTAAATCAATATTCAAACCTAAATAAGTCTACAATTTTATTAATTTGTTTGCAACAAATATAATAAATACCTGACAAATAAAATATTTATATTTAACCCATTAGCCATTAAAAATTTAATGTAGATTCATTGTTAAACAGATCTTTAAATTTGAACAGCCTAAATAAAACCAATCCATACACATTTGATTCATCTCCATCCATACCCACTAAAGCTAAATATCCAATCTTGCTTCTTCCCATAAAGTTTTACCAGAACATGAGCAAACTTTTTTCGTATTTTCAAAAGCACCAGCACTACGAGCTATAATTCCAGCAATCAAACCTTGACCAGAATTGCCATCAATCTTACTTTGCTTGTTCATAAGTTAACTGTTATTAATTATACTGTCTTTCAGTATACTGTCTTTTGATTAGCTCTTATTTTTTAACAATACTACTATTACTAGAACCTGTCTCCAGTATATCTTGTTGAAACCTTTTGTTTTTTTGAATTAAACATATGTCCAAACTTAGATCTGAATTTAAAAGATTCTGATAAAAATTGTCAGTAACAACAACTTGATTATAATGATTTATACATAATGAATAATTTCCTATTATTTAATAAAGATAATTCAGGGAAATACTTAGCTAATTTATTTACTCTTTCAACTACAGCAGGTGCTGATACATGCTTCCATGTTTGTCAGTTTTACATGGTCATAATTGACTCTTTGGATATTTATCAACTATGTCTTTAAACAAACATGGTAAAGTTTTGGCTAGTTGTCTTGTATTTGACACCATAATTGTAGGAATTTGAATAATTTCTATAATTACATGTGAAAAAAATAAAAAAAAATAATGAATAACTGAAAATTCAAGCCAAAACATGTCTCTTATTAAAAAAAAAAACTAATATGTGGATTATTGAACTGTGTATTTAGGCGAGCTTATTGATATTATAAAAATATGGTACTACTATATGATGGGTACCTTTTTTGGGCTTACAAGAATGTTGTGATTTTTTTTATTTTTTTTTTGTAGGAAAGATTATCAAAGGCCAATTAAATTTCGAGGTGTGACTGTAAATTATTCTAGAATTGATTTCCATTTATGGTATAATCCCAGATTGTAATATGCTTGCAAACTAATTAGTATCCAAATTTCCTGATACTTCTGAAATCATAATTCCTATAACCAATGCATATGTTATGCTAAAATCATATGAACTGTTGATGAAATGGAAATGAACAGTTGATGAAATAAATCAGACCCATTATGTTTAAAAGTTTATTACAATTTATTTTTAAAAGATGATGATTTTACAGAGATTTATTTTAAAGTGGTATTTGTCCTCTCCATTTTTGTTCAAATGAGGACCCAAACAAAGTTATCCTACTCCTACTTTTTCAAGTAAAGACCCAAGGTTCATTCATTATCATTAAGTTGGTTAAATGTCCAATAAAAATTTTTTATTAGTTATTCACATTTTTGTCTCCCCACACTAGTAATAATTTAT